AACCGAACCGTGAATTTTGTGTATCGTTGCACCCCTAATATTCACGTATGATTTTTTTTCTTTTAAATTTCCTTATTAATAAAAAATACAGAATATCCTCTTCGTATGACTTACTATTATAAAAAATAAATAATTAAATGGCTTTCTACAGAACCTGTTAAACTCAGCAGTGCTTCCTCAATGCTTTCGCTAGATTGTCATCTTTTCTGCAGTATGTTTACCCAAACATCCGATCTTACTTCCACCAATCACTGACTAATTTCAACTGTAATTCTCAGATAATTTATTCTGCATGAGTTGGGAGAGGCACCAGGATGTGTTCACACTGTGTGAGTCATATTTGGCCTAGATGGTGAAGTTCAAATGAAACTGACTTCTAACCAGGTCTAATTAAAAACAAACAAACAAACAAACAAGTGAGGCATATAGAAAATGTCCACATTTAACTTTACACTGCTACAAAACATAACTCCAATAATAAGAGCAAGTGTACTGACCTTGAGGGCTTGAGCGAGTTTTGGCCCATGGCACTGCTCATCTCCTAAAGCAGCCTGTATAGAGTGTTGTACCACACTGCGCATGTGATCTAGAGGATTTAGAAATTGACCTGAAGATGTAGCTGATACCTCAAAATCCCCCGACACAACTGTTACCAAGGACTCAGAGAAGACCTCTGGTTCAGCTAAAACAAAAACCCTGCAGATATTAAAAAAAAGACTTAAAGACTGAACAAAGAAAACAGCTGAGGAAATGTAAAAATTCAGTTCTAAAAGGGTTTAACTCAATCAACAAGTACATTATTTAGAGTTAACTCACCTCTCTTGGAAGGGATAGTGCACGGTTTTTAATCTCTGCTCAGCTATGACCATCCTCTGGTACATTAGACCTGTAGATTAAAGCAGCATTAAATGGTACTATATGGTTGCAATAATCATAAAAGAGACAGGTATAAATGTCCGTTGATCTTAAGTCCAATGGAAGTGAGTTCCACAATCTTAAAGGCACAATCTCTTTTGACCCTGATCTGCCTCAGCAGCTGTTTAAACATGTTGTTCTAACATATACAAGCTTCTTACCCCATATTTTAAATTCAATCACTATGTCAAGGTCAGAAATAATACCTGGAATGAAGCGTTCAGTTTTTATCTGTCTTGTGTAGCTAAGGCCCACAGTGCAATAGGGGTGAGGAAACGTCAGCAGCCTCTTACAGAAGTCGTAAACCCGCTTGTAGAGTTCATCTGGAATATATGCTGTCTGGAATGTCACCATTAAGGACAAACACACACACACACACACACACACAAGGTTTACAATACAAGTAGAAGTCACAACTACAACTTTTCTTTTATGCTTATGAATATGTGTTGTGTTGTTAAGTCAATTTGTTCTAGGAATTAAAACGCAAAATTCTCAAAATTCTTCTATTAGGTGCTACGGACATTACCATAGTGAAACACACCACTTTACATGCTTTAAAAGCAATGCATGGTTTTATTTTATTTTTGCAGTCCAGTAAACCACTGTATAAATATTGAAAAGAATAACCACACATATATCAATTAAATGTATTTAGCTAGCTATATTCACGTTAACAAAACCAAGCCTAGAATGCAAACAGACCACAAGAAATAAGTGAATTAACAGAAACAAACAGCTCTTGGGTACCTTTTCACAGAGTACTAATGTGGCAGACAAACCATACCTGGTAAATGGCATACATCAGTGTGTGGAGCAATGGGATGATGCATTTGCGAGAGTCCCATCTCTCTGCCTGCAGAGATAACACATCATATGACAGGGTGCACATATTTCAATAAAATAATCTAATTTCAGTTTCTATGAATCCCAGATAACTGCAGTTTCCTTTGTGTGAAAAGGGAAGCAATTTTTTTTCAAAACCTCCAGTGTTTGCTGTCAGCATTTGTTGGTTTATGGTGATGTTTTCCTTTAAAATTGTAATTTAAGAGTGTCAACGGTAGCGCTTCAGAGATTTAGAGATCAAGTACCTTTTCCAGCTCCTTTATCAGTAACCACACCAGAGACAAGCTACTTGCAGGATTCTTTTGAACCTTCTTATGAAGCGTCCATCTCAGCATCCCTGCACACACATGCACAAACACACACATGCACGCACGAGCTTTTAACACAGAAAACTAACCACACTCACCAAAGGTGTCAAATTTTTCTCCATACCAGTGCAAATCCAAAAGATGTTGATGACTACCAACAGAATGAGTCATAGTTTTGCTGACATGGCTAAACATTCCACACAGTGCTTACTACTAATACTTACTGGCTTCACTAAATATCTACTCTGAGTGGAAAAATTTACAAAAAGGAACAGACTTGGTCACAGTAAAAATAATCACATGATGTGGCTCATAGGCAATCTTATACATGAGAACGGACTCAGCTGTAAACACAGACAAACACTATCACATCTTTTACATCTGATATTATTTTGATAAGGTGATTGGCGATTGAGATTTTTTTCTGGTTTGTTTTTACCTTTGTTGAAACAGTCAGATTGGTGCAGCTGGTCTGTTTCTCTGGGCAGCACAGCCTGGATGCTCCGGTAGAGCTCTGGCTCTGGAACTGTAGGGGAGCCGTCAGCTGATAATAAAAGTTGAGACACTGGGAGTTTAAGTCTGAATGATTCTGTTTTAAATTTGCATAACTGAGCTTTGTGTATAGTTATTTGAGTGGGTGATCTGTACCTGTAGACTCCATACTACACATGTTGTTTGAGCTATCCCATAGGGCCATGTTGGTCAGGTCTCACACACATCATGTGTCCATCAGCTGTAGACAGGAAATAGACATGGAAAGTGAGCGTCACTTATGTTCTGTCATGTCTGCGTACAAACACTAAGTGGACAGACAGCCTTTCACTCTGCCTGTCTAATGGCGAATGACCCTTGTTTTAATACCAGCACTATAGGTGTTTTCAGACAGTGACAATACATCTCTATTTCAATGTATCTTCAGAAGAGACATGTTTTGCATTTGTGTAAGGTAAGTGTTCAAAGTCTACCTACGTGAACACCTACACCTACACACACACTCACACACCTCACACCACATACTGAAGGTTAACAGATAAAATAATTAGAACTGGTTCCACACGAACAACCTGAAAGCATTAAATGTGTCTATAATTAATACAGCCTACTTCCCGTGCTTAAGTTACTTACTTTGTAGAAAGTCCCACACAGGTTTATGAGTCATCTGTAAATCTTCCGTAATACAAATTCATTGTGATATTTGCCCAGGTCTGAGAACTAACCACCCATTGTGGCCATGGTTAGTTTAGTTTCAGATCCTTCATGTTCATGATAAATGGTATATGAGATCAGGAAGACACCCTGTTTTTCAAGGAACTGTTGCAGTTATGGAGAAAGCTTGTTATAAATATTTGCTCTCTTCACTACTCAGAAAAATGCTGAATAATATAACTGCAGCAGAGAAGGAGCGAAAGACGGGAGCATAACATACCAAGACTCACAGAAATAAAAATATGACACAACTAAGTGTTTTCACTTAGAAACTATAGTAGATATCCTCTTAGTATCTAACAAATAAAAACAAAATCTCAAAAGCTATATTCTTAGTATCATACACGATGGCACTATAACCAAAAAGCATCCAAATCCATTTCTAACACACAAAGCAAAATAGAGATAATATAACATAAACTTACCCTGTTCCATATAGGGACAGGCAAATATATCGCCCAAGTCTGCTATATTCACGCACTACACAGGCTGTACTGACATGTAAGTCACAGGAGTCAAAGAGACTGAAAGCGAGCGAGACCGTGAATCACACGCAAGTGAGGACAGCGATTCATTTCTGAATGTATTTCCTTTTGTATGAGGCTAAGAGTTGTGGGCACGAGCTCAGTTACTTTTGGTTACGAAGAAGGGAGGTGTGTGGAGGGGTGTGTGGGGGGGTGTGTGTGGGGGTGTCTGTGCAGGTTTCTGAACTGAACGTATTTGGATTTGTTTCTATTTTTAGACTTCTTACTCATACCTTGGTTTCTCGCGTTTATAAACTTTTACACCTGCCACTTATTCTTCCATCTCTAAGTTTACCCATTTGACCATTTCCCTCTCTTTCTCTCTAACACACACACAGACAGACAAACTAACACACACAGACACACAGACTAACACACACACACACACACACACACACACGCACACACTGATTCAGGTCATTCCACTGAATGGGTCTGTACAATGAAAGGACTTAGTATGATGGATTTAGCCCTGATCCCTCTAAGAAAAGCAGCGTGTTCAAAAACAGTGTTAACAGCGCTGCCTCAGCAGTTCAACGCTGCCTGCTTGACCACAAGTTTCCGGTTGCCTCTACCATGATCACTCTCTTTCTCACTGTCTTTCATTCCCCCTTCTCTCTCTCACTCATTTTTTCTCTTCATAGATCTTCAGCTGTGCAGCTGGCCCCTTTAATACACAGGAGGGCTCAAGATATTATCTTCATTTTTGTGTTTCTCTAAGGTATAAACAAATGCAGACACAAAACTAGCCATGCATGCACATAAACATGCATCGTAAATGCATACATTGGCTCTCACTTACACACGGTTGCAAGTGTAGACTCTATGTTGGCTTTTTCAAGTGAAACCATTAATGCAGTACAGGAGCTGACACATACGTAGCACTTCCTTTCTGTCAAATGAGTGGGCAGACAATGCTCTATATTTAGAGAGAGAGAGAGAAGAGAAAGAGAGAAGTAACTTCAACTCAGAAATAACTTAAAAATAGATGTACCCTATCATTGAGAGCATTTCTAAATATGCAGTTTGGAAATCCCAGTCTGCAATAAATGACCTGCAAAAGGTGAGACGGTGGACTTGTAACTGCGTTACATTGAAATGAAAAAAATGTTCATGATCAAGGCATCGAACTTTAAGTCGTCTTATGTAGTCCTACCAATATCCATTACAATATCCATATATGGTATGTAATAAATATAAAGGTTTGTTTACACCTCCTAAAAAACACACTTGTTATTACTGTACCAACACTTGGACGTTCAGGTTTCTTCCAAACTATTTTGTATCAAGTGTTCGTTTGCAATCCTCATGCAGCAATATGTCATTTTTTTGACAAAAATATATATGCACAAAAATAATACAATGCTAAAATTTACAACTGCAGACATACACCAGCGAATAGCCAATATTTATTTAAAATGCATAAAATCACAAGATTAAGTCAAGTTAAATTTACCTAACATAAATATGATCGTGTGATTTATTACACTCATACTTTTTAGCTGAAACAGAAACAAAGACAGGTAATAAACAAGTAACTACATGCACAAATACTATTCCACTGTAACAACTCACACATACTGTGCCATCGACTTACCACTACCACGGTGCACCTTACAACAAAAAAGCCCTTTTTTCATTAAAGTAGATCACATGATTGTTTGGTAGAGATTACCACATTCCTACTGTTTGCATAGCTGCTCTGACATTTTCATAGTCTGAAACTTTCATGTATTTAAATTCAGGACTGCCTGTGAATATAGGTAAGTTTGAGTTTATTGTACTAGTGTTGCAAGTTTTGAAGTTTGGGGTTAAAGCATTAATTTCTTTACTATTCCAATAGCATCTTCTTGTGACAAAGTTGAGTCTTTGATTTAGGAATGAATGAGATTTTTTTTATTAATAAAACCAAAAGCTTTGAAATAAACTTAATTACATTTAATTTGAATTTAATTAGATTTTATTAAATTAAAGTGTTCCCAAAGATAAAAAAGGTATGCCTTCAGGCTAGATTTGCAAACACTGATGCATAAATCTGATGCCTGAGGTGACTTGGTACAACGGCAGCAAAAGCATGACTCCCTTTTGATAACTGTAATGAGTTGCTGTTTTGCAATCCTATATCTTAGTTCCTATTTTAATTTTTTTTTGGTGGTGGTGGTGGTGGGTGGGTTATTATACTGTTTTTTAAGTAGTGGTTCCTGTCGAGCTTTTATTTTTTGGATGATTTTTAAGATGCTCTACTGTTCTAGTGTTAATTTTGAATTCTTGGTTTTTCAGCTTGAGGTCCTACTTTGAGTTTGTTATTTGTGAGTTTAGTTCCTTCATTGTTTCCCTGTGTGCTCCTCCCTCTGTCTTGTTTTTCTGTTTTCCGTCACGAATTATTCCATTCATGTGTGACTTTCTTGTTTCTTCCTTATTACAGTTATTGTTGTCCATTCCCCGTTTTATTCTGATAACTAGTTTTCTCAATTTTTGCTTTGTTTTTTTTTTTACTTCATTTCTCTTGACTGACTTCATTGTTTTTAACTGTGTCTCATTCCCATTCATTTTGTCATTACCAAAGCCCAAGGTCTATAAACAGTCCTGTTTTCAGCTTAGTTCCAACTTCACATGTTGTACTTCCTGTGTTTTTGCTGCGTTGTTCTGGATATATTATCACCATGTCCACAATAAAGCACATTCTGGCCCTGCAAATTTCACTGAAACCTCACAAATAATGCTAATAATTAACAAAAAAAAAAGTAGGTCAATATACAGGTCCCATCCTGTCACTTACCTTTTGGCCTCATGCCAGCAACACAAATTTCCCCATGAGTGTTGACAATTTACGGTTAATGCCATTCAGTTCCTGATTACATTACAGTACACAACTGTCTACACCTTTCTTGTACAAGCAGTCATTGGCAAGCGTTGCAGTGGTCAGCTGAAGCCTCCGACGGTGCTACCTAACAGAAAAGAGGAGCGCTCATTTCTGTTGAGGCACACTGCAGACATCTCAGAAAACAGGAAGGGCCTGACAGCACTGTGTGGAAGTGTGCTCATAGAGCAAGAGAAAGGTGGTGTTTAGATGCATGCAGGGGAGGTGAGGCTATATGTGTGTCTGCTTGATTGGAAATCCCCAACCTAGGATAGCTTAGGGTCTTTTGACAGACACAGGTTTAATCGTCTCTCACATCAGAGTTGGACAGAGTGCAACAGTACGTATCTGCACAATTTTACCCACGAGTAGACAACAAGTAATACCTGAAAAACAAGTGTGGAGTGACATCTTTTGGACTCGTTCACATAAATATTAATGCGTGTGGTACAGTGAGTTATCACTTACAGTAAAAAGCATAAACAAGTTCCTGGACTTCTTTTTTCTTTTCAGGAAAAAAAGACATAGTGTAAAGTCCCACTGAAGTCAATTAAGAAAAATAAAGTAAAACCCAAAGCAAAAATTGAGAAAACTAGTTATCAGAATAACACAGGAAATGGACAACAATACAACCCAGAATAGACACTGATTGTCTGTTACTTTGTTCTACGTGTGAATTACTTCACATTGAGCAACAAAACAGTCCTCTCTTCAATAACCAACAGTTTGTCATCTGTGATTACGACAAAGCAAAGGTAACTGAACACTGCTATAATTTTTCAGAAACACATCTGCACAAGTAAAAGCTGCAAAGATATTTCAAAAACAGACATGTAATCTTGCATGAGCAACAAGGGATATCAATCAAATTGATTTCCTGCATCAACATAATGGACAATATGCGGAAGTCCTTTTGGGTGCTTGAATGTGCACATGTTTGTGTGTAAACTTGCCCAACAAGGAATTATCTCTTCCTTAGGGGAGATACAAATATTTGCAACAAAACTTTTAGGTTTTTAGTTTCAGATCGGAGGAGCTGGTTAAGTTAAGTTAAAGGTTTACATGCACCAGGTATGCCTCTTTGTGTAGTATGCTAGATCCATCAGGCAACAGGAAGCTGGACAAAACAAGACAGAGAGAAGTTTCCCTTAAAAGTCTGCATGTGAGAGTTTGTGTGTGTGTGTCTGGTAAGGCCTTGCCTGTAAGAAGTGGGTCAGTTGGACCACTAGGGTTCATGTGAGGATATGGCGTTTAGCTTAGATTAGGTAACACGCAAGAACAAGAGTTTTGCAAAAAATTGTATATTTAACCCAAATGATGATGAAAGCTAACACTTACTTGTGTGTAGTCACCCATGAACAAATACATCATGCCACGCACAAAGCACTTAAAACATAACTTGTACTGGCTGATATACACAAATTCAGTATTTGCAAACTAGGAACTTTTTGTGCAAAACCCTTAAGGTTACAAGTTTAGCTACACACATTCATAACACTAACTACACTTTTCCTCAAACATTGCTCATCTGAAAATACTCATCTGAAAAATTATTGTTACATTTGTTACATAAGTATTTTGGAACAGTGTTCGCATTCAGTCATACATCTAAATTCATTCAGCTCAATGATAGACACCTCTGAACACAGACAGCATTGTAAGACCAGTACAGCTGTGACCTCAGACAGAAGGCCTGCGGATAACCGGAGCACTGTAGAGAAGTATGAATGATTTATGTTTTTGGTCTTAATGAATAGTAAGCTATTTTTATAGACAGCTAAATCAGCTATTCAATCTTCACGTGCAGTTCTGCCATGCTTGTTTGTAAAGACATTTTTAGAAAGAAGCAGCGAATAGGTTTCACATATTTTGTTTGCTTATATAGCCACAAATCAGCTGATTCCCTTACATGGCAACCGAGAAAATAGTCTGGCTGGGTTTCCTAATACTTTACAATCCTGTCCGTCAAACAGATGAGATGGTATCCCTGCTATCAGTCTATCTGTTTAATCAAGTGCAATGTCTCTCATACACACATGGCTAAAGACTGATTGAAATATAATAAGAAAATTAATTTTATTCATTGACTGACATAAATGTTTGAGGTATGTGTTAGCAGTGCACTTATTAAAGTATATAGCCTATAGGGACTTTAACTCACATTCATGTTTTGATATATATTTTTTCAATTCAAGTAGTTGTTCTTGCAGTAGTCAGTAATATTACTGCAAAGGTCTCAACAACAAACATTGTTCGTTTGCTGCCCAAGATCACCAGACTAACCTCATATCAGATCTTATTCAGCCACAGTGGGCAAAAATGGGCGACAGTGAATCACAGCAGTAAACTTTGAAAAAGTAAAAAATCTTTCGGGGTAAAGTGACCCGCTGCTACCGCCACAGGATGTGCCAAGTGTGTCACATAAAGAAAAACAGCAGCACAAATAGATCTTCACACATTTGGCTACGATGGAGCCACTACTTTCCAAGGAACCCACAGTTGCACAACTGTGCCAAGAAGTATTGCCATTTATTTTTATGTCCCTTAAAACAAACAAAAGGGTAGTGTCTCAAAGTGAGGCCAGTCTGCGGCCGTCTGTTTTTTGGCATCTGCTACATGTGGAACTAAGTGTGTTTTATAATCACTTTCTGCAAGGTTGTGATTTTGAATGTTGTGTTTGGGAAAATTCAGCGGTTGTGTGGGCTAACACTGGTCCAAAGCTGTATCTGAAAACTATAAAGTGACAAAAAAAACTTTAGAAGTTTCAAAACAGAGCTTTCTCAGTAAAGTTAGCTATCTGAAAATTTACTCTATGAAAAAAACAAGCGTCATCACACGCTTGTAGTGCAAAGTGGCACCCTAAAACGCAATGTTTTGTCCAAAAGCGTAACTGGTAGAGATAGTTCACTTATGATAAGGAAAGCCACAAATGCTCAAACGTGTGAAGCTGTTATTACGAAAGCAGCTGCCATTTTGACCAACTTGTTTTGATTCATTTTAAAGTAAAGTAAAGATTAGGATTTATTTTATTTCCTATTTTCTCTCATATCTCTTATATATCTTTTATTTTTCCAACCTGCTTTAAAAATACACTTTTGTTAATATGTTTATTCAGTTTTCTCAATTTTCTTTTTTATATAACGAGTGATATAGAGTGCACTGTGGTTTGTAGGATGGTATACGACATATGGAAAATACATTATTTCAAGTAACTGGTAGTGGGAAGTCACGCCGTCTGACTATGCCGCAAATTCTTAAATAAGCCGTAGAAGTTAACACAGCCTGAAGATATGTTGGAGGATGTTCTTCCAACTAAATTTAACAGCAGCTATTAAAAGGTTTATTAAGTTGTTTGTGACCCACAGCACCTTCCTGCCATGTCTTTAGGTTATGTGTCAAACCAACATGACTGAGCCTAATTTTGCAAACAGCAAGCCAAATGTATTATATATTTAATTTATTGTATTTTATAATATATTTGTTCCAGAAGAGAGTTCTACATTGTCAAACATTTTTTGTTATTTATTCATTTTACTTTTGCTCCCCACATCACGAAGCTATGACATCACAACATGATCGATCAGTTTCAGTGTTGATCCTGGAACAACAATAATTATGATGATGCAGGAACAATCTTGACCCATCTTGACACAATTAAGACATTTTCTGTAGCCCGTAGCCGCAAACTAAAGTATTTCCTTGAGCACTTTTTTTCCTCCCAAGAATTCTTCTCTGTCTTCAGCATTCCAACCAAACACTTCCCAGCAGAACACAAATGTAATGCATTGTCTCTAGCGCTATCAGTGCCCTCATGCGGGCCAGCATTCTCATCTTTAGTTTTTGATCTACTAAACAAAATTAGAGATTATTTTAGAGATTATTGTTAGGATGCCTTTAAGATACATCTTCAAAAATTCTCCCAAATGTTGCCCTTAAGTGGTTGACATTTATGAACTAAGAATCCTTTGTGGAGAAACGCCACTACATCAGCACATGATGCTGACCCTGTTTTTATTTCATGGCTTACAGCATGAGCATTATGTAGTTAATTATGTAATTAATTGGTTATTATCGTTATTTTGAACACATTAATAATTAATTACACAATAAGCATATTGGGTAAAGTGTATAATTAATGATTATTATTATTATCCTTATTAATAGAACTTTTATAGGCAAGTTCTATTAAAGTCTATATTTAATGATTAATCATCCTTAAATTAAATAGGTAAGTTCTGTTCCACTGCTGACACGAGACAGTTTAAATGCTGTCCTGTGTCTCATGGTGCACCTGTTCTGGTCATCCTCTCAACACTCCAGAACATGTTTCTTGGCTACATTATCTCACTGCAGGCATTTGACTCACCCCAGAAACTGTTTATGAGTGGCCGCAGCATTGATAAGGTTATCTTTATGATGAACTAAGTGCGACTAATTTTCCTTATTCTGTGTATTTATATTATGATCATTTGTTGTTCATTCCCGCTATTGCAAGATACTCATGAGTTCCCCTTGAACACCGTCCAAACCAAAACCGCGTCAATGAGGTAATAGCCTAAATATTTTAAGCAGTGAAGTCACCCATCCTTCATCTCTCAGTGAAAAACCTCACCCAGTAGCTGACATCAGTAGTCTGATTTTAAGTAACATTACATTTCTTTTTGCTTCACTAGATATTGTTGCACATTTGCTTGGCCAGTGATCACGATTCACAGACAGCCTAAAAAGAGACAATCATCCATTTTTTCCCCTCAAAATAGCTGCTGATTCACTACCCACAAATGACCATCTGCTTTCTTCAACTACAACTAACCATCATTCCACTTAACCCCAAAGTGGTGCCAGGAAGCTCAGATCTAAAACAAGGAAGCTGGAGGAAATGCCGGCTTACTTTTAGACTCAAACAGACACAACAGAGAGCCGGGGCTTCAATCAGATCAGGCACTGTTATCAAAATCTTGCTGATCTTGAAATAAACCGCCGCCCCCCTGTCTTCCCGTGTCACAAGCCAGGATGTGGGGAGGTTTTTGAACAGGCTATCTTGCACGTAAGAGACTATTCAGAAAATATAGTCGGATTAAAAAAACAACAACACACAGCGCGAGAGAGACCGGGCACTGCAGCTGTCATGAGCAATAGCTACAGAATTTCTTGTCAAATATTTCTGCCTGGAGCTCTACTTTAAAACCACTGACATATCTTATCTCCATATATCACAGTAAGTGTATACTGCTGACAAAATTGTGTACCAGTGTACAAACACAAACAATGTTAAGGCAAAAAAAGAAAGAAAAAAGAAAGAAAAAAAAGAAAAGAAAAAAGCCAACATAAACAAAAAATCATATCTCAAACTTAGCGGCCAATCTCTGAAGTAAAACAACAGCATAAACAATATAAATACGCAGGCTATTTACAGTTTCAGCTTAAACTTAAACTGAATGCACAACTGCATGCAAATTATTTTTCATCACTTTCAGTATGTTAGCTACAATTTAACAGTCGTCGACACAAACTTTTGCGCGAGTGAGCAGCGGGTTAAGTAAACTAAAAATGTCAGCAGTTGGTGAAACGAAGATATTCTAGCTTTTAGGGAAACTTACCTAAAGTTGAGCTAATGCAGGAAGCTTCATTCGCTCTTCTTAAATTACTGTACTATTTCTGCGTCTCTGTCGCTTCACTCCAGTCATCTGTCTGACAGCAGAACAATCTGCTGACCACGCCCACTGCCCGGAAACCAATCAGAGCGCTTAACCAGAAATGATCGTCTAAGCACGAGCCTTTGATAGAAGTCACAGATCATAATTGGTGTTTGTGGCAGTAAAGCCATTTTAAACTGTTTAATGCTGACTTTACATGCATGTCTCTATATAAAGATATATGTGTGAAAGTGCATATCTTTTCTTACAGATGACCGCACGGGTGTCGCTGCATTTCAGAGGGTATTCATTTTAACCTCAGACGTGGCATGCAGTATAAAATGAAGCACTTACAGTTTCAGAGCAGTCCAACGTTGCTCTGTTCATTCACTGTTCATTCATGTTGTAAAAGTAGCCTATAAATTGAGTCGACTTACTCTGCAGACATATACATATTTTAATGATCTCTGAATTGAAGATGTTTCATAGATAGACAAATATAATTTACAGAAAGAAATATCACACTTTCATCAGAGGACACATGTAGATGGAGGGCACTGGTGTCATGCATTTATCTGACATTTAAACAAAAAAAAAGTACCTAATTTAACCGCCTGCTCGCTCGATTGTCATGTCATTTAATTATACCAATCTGCAGTGCTTCAATTTCAGCGTCAGTCAAGTCATCAGGATATTATCCCTTTACACTAACAAAACAATAACATTTTAATTGCACAGATTACTGAGTGTAAAGTGCAATGAATCAGTTCCTTTTCATGCAGGAAGTGTACATCCAAATCTATTTTTAAACACCTTTTCCCCTACTGGTGTCCTTATTTAAAAACAAAATCAAAAACATTTCGTTTATAAAATATATTACAGTAATTACAAAGACACTTTATTCCAAGTACACTGTACTTCAAGTGAAGTCAAATAAAAAAGTCACTGGGGCCCTCTGCTGGTCATACTTATAATTTCAGTTAAAACAGTACAGTGTAACTCCTTAGGAGAAATGTTATAACTGTGTATAACAGGCATAAAAATGATGATGTGATTTTCAAGTTATAGTACACGGCAGAATATTTACAAAAATAATATTTACATATTCTCTAATAGTGTGCATTCTCAGATATTGTCACCTAATCTGATTATAACCCCCAATAGACACATCCACATGGATGTGTCTATTGGGGGAGAAAAGTTGGTAAACTTTGACTCCAATATACCACAGTCTTAACATCTCCCTCACCAGGAGCCTGGTAGCACAGCATATGGTGTTGCTAGTTTGTGTTCCTTTTCACCCAAGACTCTCTAGATTCACCCTGTTTACCCAGAGGATATTTTAATGTGACTGTGGGTGGAGTCATGTTTGTCTGTCAGTGCAGAAAGCGGAAGTGAAACTTGATGAATGAAACCCAAAGTGTTCCCTAATTACACAGAATGACTGCTGTGTACAAAGAAAACAACACACAATCAACTCGGTCTCTTGGTTGCCTGGGTCTTCTGGTACGTGTAAATATATATAAAAAATAACATAAAATAAAATAAAATAAAATAATCAGGTGACTTTTGTTACTATCCCTGTTTTTATGTTTCCAAATGTTACACCCCACTGCAGGTCGAAGGCACCATCATGTGAATCTGTCCAAGTAAAAATTAGCAAAAATATTAAAATATCCTCTTTAGTTAGTCTCTAATTTCACAGAATATGCACAAAAGTGCAGAGCATCTTTCCCAGATCAGTGGTCCGCAGTTTCAGGGAAGAGCCCCACTAAAAGTGACTATGGGCAGGCAGAGGAGGGAGCAGAAGGTCGGGTGGAGTGGCTGGATTTGAGCAGAGGCCTGGAATTTTCGTAGCCTCCAGTCAGTGGAGCTGTCAGGTTTGTAGCACACTGATATTTCACACCTGGATGACAAAGAAGGAGATATATGTTTAGAGAAAAACAAACATTTGCAAGGACTGTTTACTGTAAGTGGGTTTTGCCATTTCTGTGTACGTTTCCTGAGAGGAAAGAGGGCCATGGTGACGCAGCTGAGCGAGAAACTGCTCCGAGAACAAAACAAGGGCTAAAATCTACTTTGTATGTTTTTGTGATTCTAAATTTTTTTTTTCTGACAAATGTTTCTACTAACACCCCCCCCCCAAAAAAAAGCAAAAAAAAAGCTGTGTCTTAACGTATGATTGCGTTACCATGTAGACCATGTAGATATGAAACAACCTGTTTCAATTAGCTACCATCACATATAGCTTCTTTCCGGTTTCTTTTAATTTGGGTGCACGTGTTTATTTTCATTCCAAACCTGGTGACACTCTGTAGTATCTTCTTCTCATCCTGGTCCAGGCACACAGCAAAAGTTGTGTTTTCAACACCGCTGACCTGCACCTTGTCCACCTTCACCTCAGTCACAGTCAGCTGCTGCAAAGGTGATAAGCGGAGCAAATTGTCACGAATAGACATTTTACCAAAAACCAACAAGACTTCACGAAAAGGAATCATTTTTAAACAACACGCACGACTTTCACACCTCGACCGAGCTGCATTGAAAATAACTCAAATGGGTTCAATCATTTAGTCAGGTCTACATTTTGCTGATGAGGTTAAAAACTCTTATAAATAAATGCTCCAAACCCAAACTAGGTTAACACACCAGCATACAGTGCTGCAAAACACTACTACTGCCAAAGCGCACACCAGCAAAAGAAATGTGTTCTTGTTTGTGTGTTGTGGCTTTCTGTTCCATCACGGTGTCAGACAGTAAACGGTTCCCATACATGCTTGTGTGTGTGACTAGATATTCAGTCGAGATTTTGAGATGAAATCGAGTGTGTATCGAGGACTCCATCTTCAGTGATGGCTATGCTGCAAAGCTGTTTGCGAAAGTAGATTGGTGCTGCACTTTCATAACCACAAACCACCAAGGCAGACTGATATCACGTATTGCTCACCTGGTTGTAGCCCTTTTTGCATTTCCCATTCTGTCTCTTCAGGACTTCAGTCATTGTCAGCTGCAGGCACTCCATCTTTGAGTCTGATAGACATCGTTTTAGGTCAATTAAGAATACACTTGCTCATTTTGTTCATTTTCACCTTGAGTATGTATCAAAAGGGTTTCAATTAGAAAACTAGCTTGAGTAATACGGGAATAAGAAAGTGAATGATTCGAATTGACAGTGAAGAATGGAATGTGTTTCCCTGAAATGAAATTGTGAACAGACATAACTTTTAATTGTAAACACAAAGAGTTACATACCTAGCTCCTCAGGATTCTTGCATGCTTTGATTAAGTTTACTGAAGTACAAACTTTGGTTTCTCGCTTCCACTGACTTCTGCCGCTAATAACAACCTGAATGAGAGGAAAAGTAGGGTAAGATTACAGCTCTTTTATTTAAAAAACCCCCCAAAACACTTCAATTTTGGGAGATGAGAAAAACAGATATGATCATGACTGCTTCCAGACGACTGTGTCGATTTTGAAAGACAAAGAGATGTCACTTTTACTAATTTCTAATGGTTCAGACCACATGACCACAAAGACCAAACCTTTGTGCAAGTCTTTGTGCTTTGTCACAGAAGTTTGATGCGTCATCTCCTGTGACTCAAGAAGCGACCATATAACTTAAACCAGTTCTTAAGGCGGTGGAAAACTGCACTAAAGGGTTTGTTTGTTTTTCTCCTGATAAGATGGCATAATTACAAATAAAATTTGTTTATAACGCAGCTTTATGAAACAAATTTTAATTAGGGATACAACACGAACGCCATCCTACCTTGTTGTACACAACTTCCAAAGTTAGAGGGACTGCTTCTCGGTCACCATCAATGCCAAAACGTTTACTGGCAGCACCTGCAGAAAAAAAAGAAAAGCACACGTACACACATAAACTGTTAATTCACGTTCTTTAAAGGGGTTCCAAAAAAATATGTCTACAAAATATTTTTAAATGTACTTCCTGCTGTGGAAAAAAAGACATTTGTATACTTTAGCCACTGTTGTCATAAGCTTTTACATAATGGAAACAAAGGGTACGTTATTTGCACAGTAACTAACAGATAGAGGACATAAAAACATTTCCCTCAACTTTTACTTCTCCAAAGAAATTAAAAATCAGAAGTGCAAGTAGTGTTGACAAGTGAAACTTGAAAAGTAGAAGTGAATCATGATGTAAAAAAAAAAAAAAAAAAGCAGTTGTTTCCCTACTATAAATTTAGTAGTCTCAGCCTCATAATAAATGATAATCCATGTCACTGTAAGGAAATATGGCTGCTAGGCTATGTATAAATGCAAATGTTTGATGCATGCATCTGACTTACCCATGGCCTTGATGGCTCGCGTTCCTGCGGCGTGACCCAACTCCAGGGAGTGGACGAACACCTCAGTCCTCCGCTCTCCACAAGCTAACGTCAGCTACAAGACCAAAGTTCCTCCGTTATTCACTGAATATGAAACTGTGTTTTGTTGTTAATGAGCGCCAGAGTGCCATTCTCTGATACTAAAAAAAACCTTGTGAATGAAGTTGCAAGAAAGGGGAACAAAAAGCCCCAAAAAAGCATTTTAAGTGTTAACGTGTAACCAACCTCAGCCTGATAGAGCTGGATTAGAGTTGGCCGAGCAGCATAGCGGCAGTAGTACAGGACCAAGTCGGCCAGGATGGGTAGACGCTGCTCATATGAGCTATCGTAGGACTCGGACTCTGTTTTTGAGGTTTGCTGCAGCAAAGAGTTTATGATACATGGTGAAATTCTTTGTTGAATAAACAGGAATAACAGACTTTAGGATAGCTTTGGCTTGGCGGTGGAAAAGTTATACTACAGTTATACCTGGCAGACGATGTTGGCTGGCAAGTTAAGCAGGCTGAGGGTGTTTCTTTCGTACCAAGGATCCAGCATACCAAGGAGATGGGCAATGTCATTAGTACTGTCCCCTATGCCCATGTGGTCCTGCATGAGCAAAAGTGTCATACATTTACCTTTATGGACATTTTGTCTTTCTGTTAAAAACAAAAATCATGAATAATCATTCTGTAGTCATTTTGAAATTATGTTTTCTTTGCTCTACACCTCAGGTAGCTTAGTCTAAACCAGACCTTGTGCCTTGTATTTGATATTTGCTTGTGGTGTTCTTGCACTTACGTTACACAGGGCTGTTCCCTTTGAAGCTCCAGGTTGAATTAAAGGACTAGAACCTCTCCGAGCTGCTATTACTGCAGAGTCTTTCTTCACTGGCACAAAGTAGAACTGAAGATTGAAAGCCCTGCTGAGACGCGGACATGCAGTCTCCTTTCTCCTGAGGTCATTGTATGCTCGGGCCACCTTCCCCGCTACATGATCAGCACCAAATACCACCACCCTCAGCGTAATATTCTTAATGTCTTCATCACTGCTAAGAATAGGCCTCCTTCGGAAGCAGACGTGTTTAAGGGTTTGACTTTGTGGCTGGAGTAAGGGTTCAGGACTACGTAATCTGACCTGCTGGGGCAGGGAGTTGGAACGCTTCTCTCGCACCACAAAAAGGTCTTTCGATTCAGTGTTTCCTAAACTTTTGGCCCGGGAAAGAGGGCTCTTGGGTTTGATGAAAAGCCGGTAGAAGTGTTGGCTTAGTCGAGCTGGACTTTTCGTTGACTTTGGCGAACATTTTTCAGCGACAGGAGAGGAGCAAATGTAGTCATCAGGATCTTCAAAGTAGTCACTATCAGCTCCAGAGGTGATAGAAAGAAGGGAGGGAGCGTACGATTCTGAGGCTACAGACAAGGTGGAGAACATGGAGTCTTTGGATGTGGAGGAGATCGTGGAGAAGGTAGAGGCACGATGGCTGTTGCGGTAGTCACTAGGGATGATAGATATTGCAGAAGGTTCAACACCATGTTCCTCCTCGTCTTTGTCTTCTTCCACATCAATTTCTGTCACATACCTCTCGTCATCAATATCACCCTCTTCTTCCTGCTCATTAGTGGACAGGTAGCCAGTTTCATGCTCCAAAAGGGTGTTCAGAACATCTGCAGGAAACAGAATATAAATCTTACTTAGAAAATAATATTTAAATTTAGCTATCAAAACAGAGAGAAAAACCCCTGCTGAAAGATCCAGGGAAAACTATCCTTAAGAGATTGATTTACAAATTCTCTGTCAGCTAATAGGAAAAAGTTTATTCCCAAATATGAAGTGCAAATAAATACAAGTTGAGTTTATTACCAAAGTTATCTTTTTCCCAGTTAAACATGTAACATTTGGCTGTGGGCAGTGGTAGCGTCTGCAACATTCCTAAGAGAAGAGCAAAGTAACAGACGGATTAGTGCCATGTAACACACTTCCAACCTCCAACTCAGTTACCAAAACCAGCCTTACCATCAGACTTCCTTCCATTGGAAGCAGGGATCTTCATCATCTCCCTGAGTTTCTCCAGTCCCTGGATGACATGACTCCGCCCCTTCAGCGGTTCACTCATGGTAGCAGCTGCCTCTAAGGCATCGCTTACCAAGGAGTAGATCTCCTCCAGCTCATTCACAGTTTTTTCCTGCAAAAAGTCATGGTCTCATCTTAATCTCATATTGGACAGTACAGTTTTTGACCATGTGATGTCATAACATTTTCCTTTAATAAATATTTATAGATTTCCAAACTACAGTAACCATCTCAGAGTTTAAATCTTGGGCTGGAACTACATAGCAAATATCTCACATCCTGAAAACATTCTTCAAACATAACACTACTGACAAGCAACTGCTTACGACGATATTGTACATACGCTAGAGTCTTTTTCTCTTTTATTCAGTTCAGTTTAGCAACGAACATCTTTGTTTTCAACTGAGACCTGCCAGCAGGGAGAGCCAAGATAAAAACTACATTTATCTAACCATCAAAACCCATTAAAAAAGCATGTACTTAAGTCTTTGTAGCTTTATATAACCAATGTAATGTCAGAAATTCAAAGTAAAGGTGGTTAATGGTAGATTAACATATTCATTCAGGTTAGGTTTAGAGTACACTAAAAAAGACTTTCTCCCATTAGCTGTGGTTTAAAAATGAATTCAATATCTTACTAAAAGAAATGAATTTAGTTACAATGAAACAATGTGATTATTTAGCTTGTATGAGAATTTAAAAAAACCAAACTATAACAAAATGTGTGTTTTGTACTACACCACAAAGTTTCCTAGCTTTTTACAATCAATATTTGCAAAAAAGTACATTTAGCACACTTACCTGCAGAGCTCTGTGAATGCTGTGCAGAGGGTACTTGGTGCCTAGTGTGGACTGGAAGGCGTGTTTAATCAAAGTGATGTAGGTTTCTCTCTGTGAGTGCTGAACGCAGCTGAGCTGCTCAGCCACTGAAACAAAGTCAGCAGGAACTTCACTGGGGTTCATCAGCAACACAGTCCTGTCAGCAACACGGAGTGTTAGAGTAAAACCTTGACTTGTACACAATGTACATAACCTATGCACTGTATGCAGGACACGATGCAAACAGGATGCTATGGTCATGATGAGGTTTGGTGGGTAGAAAAGGGGATGGAAAGGGATTTTCAAAGTACTGAGATGACACATCACACATGGTGTCATTAAGTATGGCACTTGTAGTTTATTTTTGTTGTTACTTTACACGTGGGATCGGATAAATGCAGCACGAATGGCTGTGCAACTTGTTTTTCACAAGAAAGCAGAAGGTGCAAAGTTAACACACCAAAGTGAACTAAGCATACACCATCCTCTGCATGCAGTGCTTCAAAGGTAGAGAAAGCACAGTGTGTGTTTATGCAGCATAGGACCTTTGCAAATGCAGATATCAAATATCACCAGCACTTGGACTAGTTGTGGCTAAATTGTATATTTTTTTTCTGTAAATGCTATTTCTTTCTACATAGGCACATGCTTACATGCATATTCTATATTTTTACAGTCTTTAACGTAGTGAGCAGTGACATAGGGAAGCCTTACATGGTTTTTGAGCACTGGATGGATGTGTTCAAGCCCTGCTCGTCCCTCACCAGTCTCTGAAAGGAAATTCCTGTTTGGAAAACAGAACACAAACATTTGAATTGACACCAAAAAAAAGCATGACTACATTAAATGTTGTGGTGGAATAACTAGAGGCAGATGAAGGGTAATTGATGACCAAATTACTAATAAATTAATGAAGTGTTGATATTGTTAATCACTAAAATTAGTAAATGCTGCTCACAGGACAGTTAAAGTCAAATGAAATGAATAAATGAGGTATGGGTACCTCTGGCTGTGACCTTGTCCGAACAACAAATACACACCAAAACACTACACCAGCTAACACTCATTCACAAATCATTAAGTTGTCTTTTGTTGTTTTGTTTTTTTAATCTTTTGAAATACCTGACCATTCAGCTGAATTTCAGTGTAAGCACTCATTTGTGGTTTCTGCTTTCTGTAAATGCTGATACTACATCCGTTTTCAAACAATATCCCGTTAGAATGAAGAAGTTTCTCTTAAACCTGAAACCTCGTCATCATCCTGCCTCTGTCAGGTGTACATGCTACAAGCAGAGCTCTTTTTTCCCCCCACAAGCGTTATCCTAAATGCATTTCTTTGACTTATCACTAGGGGGAGTACAGTTCCAACAGGTGGATAAGCAAGAGGTAAATTAAGCATAGTATGTCTAAGAGGGCAAAGATGTGTGAATTAAACAGACACATTAAGAAGAGAAGGACCACAAAAAATAAACAACATTCTCCATATTTACCTGGGGCCTTCATTTCTAGCTGTATTGTGGAGAGAAGCTTTTTACACACACCGCAGTAGGGTTCAGGCCATGTGAGGAAATGGCAAAACACGTCCATAGCTTCCTCCAGCAGGTCTGTGTTATCAGTGCAGTACGGTGTCTAAGACCAAAGCACAAAAAGATGTTTTTACTCTAGAGGAGCTCTGTAGACAGACAGCAAGATCCATCTCAGAAGACCAACAACATACTGAAACTACGATTATCATAATTGTTCATAATTCAGTTATACTTCATGGAATTGATTTCTATATGAAGCTACAATCTGGAAGCTTTGAAGCATAACTCAAACTATTACTCTGTTTTATATAAAACCTCGATGAATTATTTAAATAACTTGTTATTTATATAGTGAATAACTGTGCCTAACTGATCCAATAAGGAAATACCATTTTCTTTCGGAGCAACTGGCTGATCAGCAATCATAATTTGATCCAGAGGGATCAGAGAATGCTTTTAATTGGAGCCATTTGGTCCATTAAGTGGGATGTATTAGTTCATAAGAGGTGGAAACACAAAGTAATATAAAATTGTTCTTTTCAGTTCTGCTCGTTTTTCAGGAAATGAAATATATTACATATCTTATTGTCATGTTCGGGTCATACTATGGTTGTTCATTTGTTTGTATATTACAAAAACATATGTAAAATAAAATATTTAGCAAGAAAGAATAAACGGATAAATCAAAGGTTTTCTGTAGGCATGATTTCTGCATGATGAAAAGGCTTCTTTTCAAATCTTTCATTGTTACGGTTTCTAGTATTATGCAATTACCCTGTAACTGCTTGAACATACGTCACAGGGGATTGAATTGAGAAACTAACTGAACTTTAAGATGGAGAAAGCTCATATCATCTTGGAACACTCTGAATGCTACTGAGAGGTGAAGAAAGGTCACATATTTTGATAACATCTGTTTTTAGACAAGCTGTACCTGCAGCAGCGTGGAGGAGAACATAATAGCGAGAGGAGCCACCAGCTCATACTGACACTGCTCCTGAACCTGATCGCACAAACAGATAAACACAACAGAAGAGCGACATAAAGCGAGTAAGGATTAGTTAATGTAGATTTTTGGTTATTATAGCATTCATTCATCAATGATTAATACATCTTTTCTCCTTGACCTCTCACCTCTCGGGTCTTCCTGATGATCTGCTGTAAAAGGATGATGAAGTTGTCCGGATCTCTCTTCACCAGCTCCTCCAGGCTCCATCGATTCATTGACTGTCCCACTGAGCACATCAGCACTGCAATACATGCGTTTTTACAGCTATAAACAACATATATGCTTGACATTCTCACATATTTAATATCTAATGCTACAATTCTAATTTTTTACATATTTTTAGTAGCCATCAAACATGCCCCATAGTGGTAATGAAACAAGGCACTGGACAATATTGTGCTAGGCTCTGACACTGGTTTGCAAAAACACCCAACAGCTTTTTGAAGTCTCAAGCTGTCACTTCTGGTGCGTATCATAGGTGTGTATTATCACCTTTTGTTCACTGTTTCACTAAGGATGTTTGCATATGTACAAATACGACAGGATGGATTTCCTGTTGTTAGAAAAAAATAAAAGAAAGAGAAGATAAGATCTCAATTTGAAAGATTTATTTTGGCACTAGGTTATTCACAAAGGCTAATTTGGTAAAAAAAAAAATGGTGATAATCAATTACCTTTTTATCAAAAGTCTCAATTTAAAGCTTTTGGTATACATAATAATGTTAAGGAGTTTTACTGTTTTCTGTTACAGTGTGAAACAGAAACCTGAATTAAAAACAACAAAGTAGATCTGTGAATACAGTATTTCAAACCACACCGATCTGTTTTTTTTTTGAGTGTGGTGTATCACAGTCACAAAAACAACTGAAAATGACACCTGACTCCTCACAAGCATGTTATTTTGATATGATCCCTCGATCTCCGTGACTTAGATTGCACATCAATCTAAGGAATTAAAACTTTAGCAGTCAAACACAAATGCTGTCCTATAAACAGGCCTTTGCATCCAAGTGCGCTACCTAACATCTCTAAAAAGCAGTGCGCTATTTGCATCATGATCACACCTAACCACTTGGGAGCTCTAGTCTTTTTTAATATTGCTGGTTATGGGAATACAGCTGCCTGTTTTGAATGATCCTGTTAAGATCCAGAATGTAATACGTCAGTGCTTCAGTAGACGGCTTGTGCTCAACATGAGGACGTTTACGTGAATGTAGCACATTACATATCCCTGGAAGTTTATCCGGTCAAGGCATTTCAAAATTAAAAATAAAAGCTCTGAATTGGAAACAAAGAATGATGAAACGAGAACACCAAACTAAGACCTTTAGGTCACGTTTTAAATGCCAAAATCCCATCATCACCACTGATCAGTTTGCACAGGTATGCGTCATTCTATCTGACACTGGTTGACGTGCGGAGGCCGATGCCAGTTTGATCTTCCGCCCTGTTTTTATACCCTGCATCACAGTACCTCCTGCTTCTGATGCCTCACACACACGCTGCGGTCTGTACCACCACTTCCCCCCAGCTGTCTATTCACACAACTTCCTTCAACACCCAATAGTGTGCTCCACCAATGATCTTTCAGCAACAGTGTCATCAACAAGCAGCTCAGACTCTTCTGAGCGCCTGTCGCACACAGTGCCTGTGTTAAGAGCTCGTGAACAAACAACTTTTTCTGTCAACACCACATGTTACACATGTCCAAATGTGCTTGCTAGAGGTTGATACTTCTGAGAAAATGTGGTGTCTTTACCTTCCTAGAAACAGAATTTTGACCTCACACTCTAAATGAACGCCTGTAATGAACGATTTCTGTTCATTGTATGGCACTTTAGACTGAAAAACCTGCTGTAAGCAGATAAAATTACAAAACGTACAACAAACATATTAACAAGAGCAATGGTTAATGCCGTGATATGATTTAGTTAGTCAGAACTATCGACATTTACGATGGCTTAGCCACACATTTTGTCCCAGTAAACTATGCCAGTGAACCAATACAAGTCACAATACAAGGAGGTGACGTGAGTGAACTGCAGCCAATAAATAGGTCAGTTTATTAAGCTGAGAGCTGCACCGGAGACAAAATGAACTGCGACCAATATAACTCCATATATCAAATGTAACAATTATATCTGTGCACACAGAGTTCAGACTCTGTGTATGAAACTCTGAATCAAGCTCCTTGTGGCTTTATCTCAGAATAAAAATAGTAAAGATTAAAAGATATTTGCAATATTTGGTGCAGTGACGACACTAACAAAAACAAATGATGGGATTTTGATGCCACGGCAGATAGGAGCACAACCAAGCATTTGCTCTGTACATCTCTAAAAAGATGCACATTAAAAAATGGTGTTGTAAAATTCAGAGGATGGTGTTTGTCCAAGAAAAGCTTTTTAAGGCTTCACAGGATCAGCTGTCTGATTATAACCTTCTTTTATAACCAGATCTTAGCGGTGATCCTATAAGTCCTTGGTAAAACTGCAGGATCTTACCGTTCCAGTGATGTGCTGCTGTGGGACTTTGCCGCAGTCCATCCAGACACCTATCCAGAGCATGCTGGATCCGGTCCTCTGTACAAGAGGTGTGCTGCATATTCACCACTCAGGTTCTGGAAAGAGGCAGGAGAGAGATGATTATTATGCACCAAAATATGGTAAACATCTCAATGTCCTTTAATGTCTTCTGTGGAATATTATCTTTAAATACCTTGGTATTTATGCATAATGTGCCCATGCAAACGTACACACATGCTCCTCTCTTTTCCTCAACAGTGTGTTGTGTTATCGCATTTACTTTGCATGAAGGCAGTTCACTCGGCAAGTATGAAAATCAGTCAGAAGAAGATACACAAACCATAATCTAAGTGGTAAGGAAAACAGACACAGGGCTATTTGTGTCACTGTTTTGTTGCTATAGTTCCTGAAATGTCCTAAACACATCTGACAGAAACCTCCGCTGCCTCAAAGCAGCCATATTTATCTAAAGACTTAAATGGATCTGTGACCACTTTAATACAACGGTTTTAAGCAGACCTACTTCAGTTATAGTGTACTCAGCAGTTACATTGTACAAGGATGGGAATTTCTGGATTTAAGACATTACATATTGCTCAACAAGGAAACCAAACTGGAAAGCAAACAATTTTCACCATAATCTTTTTTTTAACAGGATAAAAGAAAAAACCCCAGCCTGAAGTGATTTTAAAATTAATATACACACACACACGCGCGCACACACACACACACACACACACACACACACACAGCAATCCTATAAATGAGAGAGATATGGCGAGGAAGAGCTTGTTATAGAATTCCTGTATGACAAAAATGTCGTAAGTGCGTCATATTTTACCACTGACTCATGAGGATGTACTGAACTTCACTTTTTTTTTTTAAACTTTCAGTTTATCAGCGCGTTTGGCTGTTTTTCATGCAGCAACTGAGGACAACCCAGGTGTGGCAAGCTGTTTCAGTTCTGTTATGAACACATCTCATAAGACATATGCGTAAGGAAAAACAGAGGCGTCCGCCAGTCAAATTAAAATGGGCTGAGTAGTCACTTGTAATTCTTGGATGTTTTTATATGTAGAAGAACAACATTTGTGGTGGCAGAAGGTTAACGACACAATTTCAGAGCTGAAAACTGGACCTAACCGCTAACCGAACAGTTTATAAAGAAGAAAGTAGTTCATAGGTTTGAAAATGGTAAAGTGAACATCTCTTTTCACGGGCAACTATAAAATTTCCCGATCTAACCTTTCAGTTCAAATTAAACAGGTGTTTCTGTGTGGGCCAGCTTGTACTCTTATTAGGAATAGCCACAGAAACCATTTTCAAAGAAGCCTGTTGCTTTCGATACAACAAAAAGTGCACTCTCTAATAATTTGTCAGGAAAGCCATGGGTTTTCAAGCACCCTTAATTGCATCCAACTCACCATGGCATGGTATGAATCTAATTATTCTTAGGTTTTTCCAGACTTCCCATAACAGAGTCCAGCTACACAATATTACCATGACCTAATTGCATGTAATGACCCCATTAGATGCAATGATGACCCCAGCTGTGTGATATGTTGTATTACACAGATGGTTTTCACAACCAGGTTAGACAACAGCTTTTTGAACATTTTGGGGGAAACATCAGCATTTCTTGCTGAATATGCATTTTTACATGTTTTTCCCAAATAATCTGCATGAGCAAACTCACACATGACCGGCCTCTGTGGTGGGAAGAGGAAACTAACCTACGATCTATTAAAAGATGATGTAAACAAGCTTAAAGTTGGCTGGCTGGACAATGAGTTCGAGCACCAGAAGCATACGCAACTAGTTAATTAATATATAAAAGTAGCTATGTATCGGTTGCATTGACGAGAGAGGCATCACAGACATTTTCATGTGCAATACTCTAGTTTTAGGGTTAACATATTCAATAATTTGGGACCTAAATGCATTATTAAAACCAAATAAACAGCTTCTAACTTGTTAATGCATGTACACATAGAACAGGCACGTTTTCCATAGTTAATGTTGGAAAAAGATTGTTTAACATGGTCAGAAATAAGCTTGCTGATAATGCATTACGTATCTCCTCAATACGTTTCTCCTGACTCACTTAAGAATTTGGAAATGCAATAAATGCATGTGCAAATATGAGGAAACATCCAAATATAAGAAGCAGAACAAATACTTCCGTAAAAACAAAAATAAAATAAAAATAAAAATGAAGGCGACGGGGCTTTTAGAAGATTTACAATTTTAGAAACAGAGCAACCAATCAGATCTTCTGCCTCCCCCCGACAGAAACGCTCAGCAGCTTAATCGAGTTTGTCCTTCAAGAGTTATTTTATTCCTTTAAGTGAAATCTGAATGTGCCCAAGTTAAAAAAAAACTAAATCAGGAATATCAGCATGCTGTGTACAGAAACATCACCGGTGTCAACAGTACCAAGAAAAAAAATAACTTTCATTTAGTAGTAATGGCTTTTTTTCCACACTGATTTCACATTCACATTTTTTTTAGTCAGTGTAATCTTCAACAAGAATGGTTATGGAGTGATGGTAGACCAGGACCAGAAATGAGTAATGACATCAAGCTGTGTGTCTGATTATATCTCCTCAAAATTTCCCCTGACAGGTTCACAAATTCCCCACTTCAGATGAAAGCTAGAAATACATGCTCGCTGACAGATGAACGGTGTTACCAAATTACTCACTTGATCTTTATACACCTACACGCCTAATAACTCTAACTGACACACATAAGCACATAACTGTTTATCCTTGACTTCACAGGACAGGAAGCTGAGTTACACTGATTACCTCGAGACTTTTTCTGACATGTATCAAATGCTAGTTAGTCTAATAGTAACCCCACTCTAGAGTAACAGTAAAACATGTCTGCAATTCAAGTACTTAAGACATTGCCCAGGAAGGGAAAGTTTGTTAGTGTTTGTGAAACTAGATTTAAGTCCCCACAGCCTAAACACAACCCTGGCCACCAACAGTCTGTATGCTTGAGAGCAGGCTGGCATTTGGGAATGTGCTTGTTTCTTGGCCAGAGTTAGACGGGCAGCAGCTGGTTACCTTGGATTAACACAGACTGAATCACATGCTTGTATGTGTCCACAAAAGATGTGTAAAAAAATAATATCTGTTGAAGAAAGACGTCATAATGATAAATGTCTATAATGACCTTATGGAAGATATGGAACAAACAGCTTGCTTTTACGCCTCTTTTTCTTGGATTAGCTAAACAAGATGATACTATTTGGTAGTTTTTTATCTTTGGAAAGAACCAAGGAAAGTGCACTTCCTGTTTCCAATCTCCATAATGAGCTAAAACATTTAGATACCAACTGTAAATTTGTATTTAAGTGACTTTTATATTAACCTATGAACCAGAACAATAGTTGATCATCATCTAACAAGCAAGTTAACAAGGATATTTCTCAAAACGTCAGACTGTTCCCTATGAGCCACAACAACTCTTAAATGAACAGTGCTGTGGACATTGACAACACAGCACAGCACAAAACACCTTTAGGAAAATGTGCGCTATTGTTTTCCCCCAAACAATTGTCCTTATTTTTACTCACAACTCGTGCTTAAGTACAGATGCATAGTACTGACATCCAAACTTCCAACCTTGCCATAGGCACGGGTCAGGAAGTTCATGCAAATCCCAAGTTCAGGAGGCCAGATGAATGAAACTCAATTATCCCACAGCACTCCACTTTCCTAAAGTTACCATTCAATAACAATACCTTCAGCTCTAGACATAAACAAAACCACCATGAGGCACTTTTTCTCAGCCATCCCCTCCTCCCCAGAGATGTATTGTCTCTAAAAGGTGTCCCAGCGGCACTGAGCAGGACTACAGAGCCGTGTGCGTTGGATCCTTGTATTGAGTGCTCCGGTAATTGTCAGGGCTGGACAGAGCTGGATATGAGCCCAGTCGATGTGGAAGGAACTAATAAATTAAAGTTGTAATGATTCTTACATCCAATGTGGCGTTCAATGAGGACACGTAAAGGTAATAAAAGAGATGATAGCACTGCATGATGCAGTGAAAGTGTTACATATGAAAGAACCAACTGGTATAGTCCCTCTATGTTACCTATTCAGTACTCTTTTACCAAACATGGATGATTAAGCTTTTGTTTGGTATTCTTCTCAAAGAAAAGTTAGATATGTTTCAGAAAGCTGCCATCACACACCCCTTTGCAATGTAAGATGTACATCCAGCTATTATTAATATTCAAAACAGCGAGGGTGTCTGCTGAACTATTAACCTGTCAGTGGAAATCATAAACACTATAATAGAAATACGGCAAAAACAGCTATATACTACATCCAGATTGTTGCGGATATTCTGGGCTTATGCAACTACAGGGATTTTTGCAGCAAAAATTCAACTATAAGCGTCATCGAAGTTGTTTACATAGACCTGCTAGTCATGTTGCAAATGCAGCGACTCTGTGGTGTTTCATAAGAGGATGTATGCAGTACATCCCTAAGAGTCAACAAGGTCACTTCCACTTTTTCATGGCTTACATTCTGACAACAACAAGCAGTGTTTCTATGGTTTAGAGCTAGTTTTCAAAAACGTAAAGCGAAGTAAACATTACGTTACAGAGACAGTCCTTAAAGAGGTTAAAAAAATAAAAAATAAGTATGGTTCATGCACTAAAAACACAGATGGTGTCGTGTTTTGATCTTCAACATCTGCATGAAGCAATCTATTCTAGGAAGAAACAAACTAGGAAAACATTAACTGATAGCTCTGTCTACCATCAGGAGATCAACATACATAACCAAATGGTAATCTCTCAGAGATATCTTTTAAGCTTTTATCCAATGTTTGACTCGGATAGACTCCCCGCTCTGTCAATAATAGCATCCCCAAACCACCAAACTATACCACTATTCCACCCACAAATGTTTAGTTCCTTTTTCCTTTCTCTTACCTGCCTGCTCCACACTGAGAAAAGCCGGCCATGGCCGATTCAAGCAACAGCTGATCCAAATAGAAACAGCTTCTGGCATTCTGGGTTTTGATTTTGTCACAATGACATTAACATTGTTCTTAAATACTGGTTTTTGTGTAGAGTGCACCCCCCCCCCTCCCCACACACACACACACACCACCACCCGGTTATCTTCCCTTTATAAGCCCATTTCTCACTTGTGCTTCTTGTAGGGTTTTTCATCAAACTTCCCACAGCGCATCCAACGTTTCCCCCTCAGCCTGCGTCCCTCTCTTTCTCACAATGTCCTCTTTTTCCTCTCCCTCCATCTCCTCACGGACCGCTTCCCATGTCTCCCACAGATCCCATTACCGAATGCTTCCTAACAGGAAGATAGCTTCCCTGCGTCGCTGAGGAAGCAGGTGCCTCTCTATTGTTGTGGTGTGATCAGACTCTTAGATATACTCCCACAGACCAGGGACGAGATCTCTGTGTATATATGTGCATAATACATGCGTGCCTCTCATTTTAATTGACAGTCACACACCCCACCATCACCCTCACCCTCACCCGAGCCCCAAACCCTTTCACAACTTCAATATTCACATCCAACCTTACTCTCATCCCCTGACCTAGTGGATGTGAACCTGCCTCTTATGGCTTTAGGAAATAACAGCAGTCCAACTCCAAAGCTCTGTTGTAATTAAGTGCTTCCCTTTAGTCCAAACAACCTCTACCGGTGACCACTTGGCATTATATATAAGCTAAGCAGGTCAAAAAGTAACACTGTGTGGATGTGGCTTTTGTTTAATGCGATTATGCTGTATTTCCTACTTTAGAGCATCTAGAAAATACCTCATTAGGAAATGATGAAGGTGAACTTGCTCTTCAGCTCTGCATGCATGTGCGCGGCTGTTTAGAATCATCAGCTTTAATACTAATAATGCAACAAGATGCACACATATGCTGTTGTGCTGCTAATTACAGCAGCAAAACAAAGGGCCTGTTTGGTCACTCTATGTAAACTTTGGTTTTCACTTCCTGAATAAACACTGATAAACATATGAAAATTTTAATGCAAATATCAGGTTCTTTAATATCAGATTATGAAACTCAGAGGAGGAGGCAGTAGAAGCACTGCAAACAAGACTGAGCAAACAAACAAAATAACAAAAACTATATATACTATATACAACAGCATATCGGCAGCATAGTCAGTATATAGGAATGTTTGTCTGTGTTCTAACTATATACAACAGTATATAGTATATGTATAGTGAATGCTAACAGATGCATGTGTTTACACACCCGGGGGTGTTGACCTCAAAGTATGTGTCGTAAAGGTGAGCACGAAGATTTTACTGATATCAAAGCCTTAAAGAGACAAACAGGAAACAATTTGACGAATAACACACTTTAGCGGTAGGATTCTGCAGTCAACCCTCCTAGATGTAAAATTGTGGTCAACAATCTCATACCCACAAATCAACAGGCTTGATTGTTTGTGTTCTTCGATACAACAAATGGTCCGCGGGTTGCTCCAGCAGTTATTATTTCTCAACATAGGAGTGATTGTATTCCAACTCGATTGTGAAATTGGACTATTTCTATGAAAAATAGATGATCCCTTCCTGTCGTTGTGCAGAACAAATATGTCATCATCTAATGGGTGGGGTGGAAGCACGGAGTAGCGTGTAGTTCTTTTTCATTTTTTAACTTTCTTGAGAAAATTGTGACATTGGGTAGCGGGTAAATCATGCGTACGCCTGAAACATGACTCCAGTCACAAATATAACGCCTTTAAAGATCACAATCCTGACCTAAAAATACAGCAGATCATTTCTGGTGAATCTGATTGCGAAGACAATCACCAGGGATCATTTCTGCATATGCAGAGGAAGTTATACAAAACCTTTCATAGCTTCAAAGGGAAATGTGGGAAGTCTCATCAGCTGCAAACAACTGATATGATTAGATGCATCACTTGGGTCTGCTTGAGGCCACGCAACGTAAAAAGCAAAATCTCAGCCCAAAACATGGAAAAGTGATGTTGCAGAATGTCTAAAAATCTTCTCTCTTTTTTGAAGTGAGTTTTATCTTATATTTTTGTTTTGTCTTCTTAATATCACTCAAAATCACAGTGTGACAAATGCAGCTACATCATTACATTACTGGTGACAAGTATCTGAATTACTAGGCACTTTATACAAAAAGCTCCTCAAGTGACCTTTAATTGTATTGTACTTGTAACCCATGTGTGAACGGCAAAGGGTTGTTGTTGTTTTTTCCCAGTAACAAGTATCACGAGTTCAGCAGTTTGCTTGGTGGCATTTCTGTGGGTGGACAATCAAAAAAACTTGGTCTTTCTTCTCAGCCTGAACTTAAGCTTCGAGTAAATCGGGATCCTTTGCTTGCATCCCTGGTTAAACTCCAATAGACTTCCATGGCAACCAAAATGACCCCAAGGACAGGAAACCTTTCAGCTCATTGGTGCAACTTAAAGTGCTGATCCACAACTCTTCCTTCATCTGATCGCCTGGTCCCACTAGCTTCAAGTACTTTTCTCCTTCTAAAAATCATAACATATATTTGAGACACCATCCAGGCATCTAACACGTGCTTCTGCATCTCTATACTTCCTCACTGAATACTATAGGCATGAATCACATAGACAGTCTAGAAAAGCAGAAGTCACCATAATGGTAGGACTGTGGAGGTCTGTCAGATCACAGGTTTCCCATCAGTGTTTGATGCTGACAGACAACAAAACAGTTTTTAACACTGCTGAGAAACGAGCTCTGGTGCCATAAAAACACGTACATGAGGAACAACTAGATTACAATAGATGAATGACAGAAGCAGCTTCACTTTAACGGCGTCATAAACTGTCGACTCTTAGATGCAAACGTAGATGCGCACAGGTGACACGAACAGTCTGTTGTCATATATCAAAGGTTCATGAAATTCAACACAAACATATCTGTACACAGTTAACCCATTTGCGAGTGGAACACTGCTGGTCGCCTTTAGAATAAAATATTTCCTTCTTCACAGTCTTACCTGTGGGTTATTGGCCAGCCTCCATAGCTCCTGTGCGTGTCTTAAAAGTCCAAAAAATCCAAGGAAAGGTGTCTCCTGTTCAGCGTCGCTGCCATTCATTCAACACGCACATCACGATTTAATAGGCAAACCCACATCCTGGGTAAAAAGAGCGGAGCCGTACGCCGAAGTGTCTTCTGCGCTTTACATACAAAAACTGGCTCACAAACACGGCAAACAGGAAGTGTATTAGCGAGGCGCATGTGAGCACAATGACGACGGCTGCTGCTGCCGCTGAGAGTGTAGAGCTGGGAAGTGGAACTGTGTGGTAATCCGTGTGTTTCTAGACCTGTGCATGATGTTGGCCTCTGAAAAGAAGTCACGCTTCATGTGTGCGTTTTATGCGCACATTACGTTCACTTAAACCCAAGATATGTATTTCTGTATTTTCGGTGTCTTTTAAATTCAAGTGTTAAAAATAACTATTTTGAATGACAGAGAAATTATTCAAACCTGCGGACTCTGAGTGTTTCATTTTCTCTGCAAACCCCATTCTGTCAGGGAAACACTAGCCTTACTTCCCCCTGTCGATTTGCTTGTCATTTACATGTTATCTATTTGTGTGACTTTGAATTCCCCTTCTCTTAAAGAGAGGGAAATGCAGTGGCAAGCTAAACAAACCAGTGACAGTAAACACTGTCTGTGTTTCGGCTCAGAACTCTTGTCACTCACTACCAGCACAGCAGCATCAGGATCCAAAGCTTATATAATATAAGTTAATGAATATAACATTGATTTAGATTTAGTTTCTAGTTATAAAGGAAGGTGGTTTTTACATAATACACAGAATATATGTATTCTTCTTATTCTTATTATTTAAAAAATACATTTTAAAACGACATATTATATTCCCACAGAGCTTCAATGTAATCTTAAACTCAGTTTTTAGGAAATATACATGTTTAAATATAGTCTATTTATGAAAAAAGGAGCACAGAGATTTAGTGTAGGGTTTGTTTATCAGCTTGTTGTTTGTTGTTGACTGTCTTTTGTCAGTCACAATGATCACTGTGACATCAAATATCATGCTGGATCTTCCAGTTCTATCATGAGACTATCCAGCTCTGATGCAAACTCAGTAGCCTTGTCATGCCAAAAGGCTTGATAGGAGGAAATAACAGAATGGGAGACTGCAAAAGGATATGCACTGCAGAACTTCACTGACTGATAGAGAAGATGCAAACAGTGCATGGATACTAAGCAAAAAAATGACAAAAAGAAATAAAAACACAGTTGTAATTGTTATAATTTTTGAAAATCAGGACGTAAAGCCACAGACAAATGAAAAAGATAAGGAGCAGGACGACCATGTTTTATAAAGATCTGACCACAGAAAGAAAGTTCCGTGTGCTGGATGTGAATTTCTTAAAAACGGATTCCCTGAAATATCCTTTTTTTTAGGTTGGACTATTGTAATTAATTTTTATCAGGTTGTTTTAAAAACTCCCTGAAAAATATACGCTGCACTAAAAGTATTAACTGGGACGACAAAGAGTAGAATGGGAGACAGAAAGTTCCGTTTTAAAGCCCCTCTTCTGTGGAACCAGCTCCCTGTTTGGATTTGGGAGATATATGCTCTCTGTGCTTTTACGATCAGGCTTAAAACTTTCCTTTTTGATAAATCATATAGTTAGGGCTGGATCAGGTGACCCTGAACCCTCCTTTAGTTACACTGCAATAGGTTTAGTGAACTGATTCCCACAATGTACCGAGAGTTTCTTCTTTACTCATCTTTTTCAGTCAGTATGTGTTTATACACCACTCTGTATTAAATCATTAGTTATTATTAATCTCTGGCTCTCTTCCACAGCAAGTCTTTTGTGTTGTCTCCCTCCCCTCATCCCAACTGGTCACGGTAGATGGCTGTCTCTCTCCGAGCCTGGTTCTGTCTGAGGTTTCTTCCTGTCTGAGTTTTTCCTTCCTACAGTCATCGAGTGCTTGCCCACAGGGGTCATCTGATTGTTTTCTCTCTGTTATTGTAGGATCTTTATCTTACAATATAACGCACCTTGAGGCAACTGTTGTTGTGATTTGGTGCTATATAAATAAAACTGAATTGAATTAAACTGAAAGTCTTGTGCTGCATTTTTCTTTATTCCTGTGTAATTCAGTTGCTTGGTGGATTTAAAACCAAAGACAAACCATGGAATAATAACTTGAAGATAAAATGCTAAAACACATGAGCAAAGAAGCAGAACAACTTTGTTTGTCATGCTGAAAAACAAACTTGTTGCCAGTCACATGCTTTCCAGATTGCACGGTGATCAAAATCTGACGGTACTTTTCTGTGTTCATAATTCCATCATTTTTAACTACATCTCAAACACCACCGGCTCAAATGCAGCCACACACCATGACACAGCCTTCACTGTGTTTTACAGATGGCTGTAGACACTCATTGTTTTACCTCTCTCCTCATCTCATTCTTTTAACAAGCTAAACCAAAATCTTTCATTTGAATCAGTCACTCCATAAGACTGGTAGTTACTGATATCCACTTCTTGTGTAGTTTGGCATACCTCAAGCTTTTCCTTAAGAAGGACTTCTTAACAGCCACTCTTCCACCAAGAACAGTTCTGATAAGGTTTTCCTGAAACTTCATCAGAAAAGGTCTCATCTGGCCCTTCAGCCGGGTAATCTCTCAAGTCCTGTGTCAACTCTTTTTAGGATTTTTCCCCATTTCTTAAGAACATAACTTTCAGATACTGTTCATCATCATAGATAGTTATTTTTAGGCCTGCAACTTCTTTCTTTTGCACAACTTCCTCAGTTTTTTTGAAGGATGGGCTGCACACCATCCCACACCAGTTATTTTTACTAATAACTCTTTGGGAGTCACCTTGTTGGTGTAAGAATACTATTTTATACCCATGAAAGAGTGTTGGCATTTTTTGTAGATTCATCTTGGGAAAAAAAGGGCAGAGGGAAAAAGTTTCATGCTTTTGAGACAGGTGGCTACTAACAAAGGGACTAAAAATACAATTGTCTCTATGCAAAGCTGTCTGTTATATGAATCATTCAAGCATAAAAGTGGCACCGTAAGTTACGTCCCCTTTCATGCCGAAATGATTCATAGGTCAGTGTCAAGTAAAGAACGAGTAAACAAAACATTCCTCTGAAAATTATCTGGTACAAAGACTAGACTGAAAATAAATGAAAAAGCAGCCAATGTCTGAAGTAAAACTTTGAAAGAACGTCAGTATACTGGACAAGTCTTGTTCAAGACCCCTATTCAAAATTACACAAAAGTCTGGCACATTAGAAGCAAAATACAAAGAAATGAAGACTTCATTTCAATACTGTATAAAATAATTTTATCACCTCAAATTATTTTAAAACACGATGCCCAAATGTTAAGGATTCACAGGAACCACGAACACTCAGCCTCTAAATGTTTCTCATTTGTGATTTTTATCTCAGTTCATCTACAACAGAGTTGATTAAGTTTCCTTTAGGTTGAGGTGGACTTCTGTTTTGGCAACATCAAAGTGTATGCTTTGCTGGTACTGTACCATAAACGTTCATTTTGGAAATGCAACTCACCACGGGACAATTAGGAAATGGCAGAGGACCTGGCAGCACGAGGAATCATGAGGATGAGCAGTCAATTCCTCACAAGGTGGAAAAAAAAGAAACTTTTGGGAGTGCACTGAGCAATATTTTTGTAGGCTACATCCCCCAAAAAATCTATGGACAAAAATAAAACGCTGCCAGTGATCTCAATTGCATTTCATCAGTCAGACGTTGTTGTGCTTCTGTTGTGGCTTGTTCAGGTGCCAAAAGAACTGGCACAGCGTCTTTTTATTGATGATTTCACTGCTGATGCCAACAACTGAACACATGCAGAGGTTTACAAAAGCGCTCAGATTCAACCAGCACGGAGCCTAAAAAACAAAAACATTATTTGCACAATTTAATGTGAATTTTCTTGTAGCTTTTCTAGTATTCCTGAACTTCGAGCATGTTAACAAACTTTCCAAGCTGACTGGTTTTGTAAAGCAAATTTGTTGTGTAGGTGGTATAAGATAAAAAGTTTTAAAAAAAAAATGCATTGAATGAGACGAGTAATTGATGCCTTAATGTGTTAATTTCAGGTAATATGTCTTGAAAATTTCTCACAGTATCCCGGATAACGAATAAAACTGGGCCTGGCTATCATAAGAGCCCATGCTTCACTCCTTTAAGCAGTGAAGGTCTTTATTCTCCATTAAATAGTACGTGGTGTTATACCTCCATCACCTGGAATATACAGACAGTACCAGCCGGTCACTGAACGCTGAGCTGCTGTTTCCCTCTATGGGCACAAGATGGCGCGGTTACTTTTTGTGCCAATATTCAACAGGTCTCATGGAGCAGCTGGTCACAGAAGATTTCCAACTCAAGAGGCATGTATTCTGAAACTCTGCACAGAAAAAAAAGCCTTGAATCTGGTGTGCAAATGTTTTATTTTTCAAGACCCAACCCGTGTGAAAGTACAAACGCTGGCGTCATTCTGCAACTGAGCATGGCTGCTATCCCGAAGCAGTTTGGTTTCCAATAAGAAACCAAGAAAAGACGCTTAATTGCTCTCCAAATAATCTAAACACTCGAATTTAACATAGTAAAAAGAGCACATTATTGGCGCACTCCACAATTAAGTGCCTGTTTAATTTTAAGTAAACCTAATCCCTCCAACTGTTCCACTGTGGACAGAAACCTGAGAGGGACATAAGACCTTTCCTTTTGTCCTTCTGAAACATTTTATGTTGATGTCGTTTAAAAATAATTACACACAACAGAATGAAATAAAGTCATTTTTAAAATGGTGAAATGCCAATACTTTTAAAAATTGGGAAAGTAAATGGTAAATTAGGACCAGTTTGGCCTTGGGCAAAAAGAAAGAAACAAGAAGTAGAAGAGGAAGAAAACTGCAAACATTTCGTGGATACAGCAGGGCTTTTGCTGTATGGAAGGGTGATTTCACTGTCATACCTGGCTTCTGCTAAACGTGCTCAACCCAGTATAAAGTACTACAGCTGGGGAGGGGGGTCTCTCAGATTCACACTTTTCTGTCTTCTCTCCTGAGGTAATTTGCGCCCCACTACCGCAACAGTCTCCTGAAGCGCCACCAGTGGACGTCGTTGTTCCGCCTGCTGTCACCCAAGATGAGCTGACCTAAAGCCGTGCCAAGCAAGATCCGATCCGCGCGAGAGAATAT